AGACAAATGGGTAAGCTTCATTTATATTAAAATTTACCTCTGGATCTTATGCTTTCCTTTTAAATGAAAAGTATGTTAAAGGTAAGATATATTGCCACTTAGAGGAAAACTTATAGAATTATTGTTCAGGAGGGAAATCAGCTGTACAATTTCAATTTCCGTTAATGAGGGTTATGTGGTAGACACCTCATGCACGAGAGAGAAAGTATGACTGCCAATGCTATTGATGTTAGAGTTACATTAAGCTAGTAATGCATGCCAGATCTCTGAAATCTTCTATTTGGCTCTGATTTCTAGAGTCTAAGCATGTTATTCATAAGCAAGTAAGAAAGCTCCGAAACAAGGCAGGACTTTGTATAATATAATGTTATCATGATTGAGTACTCGGTAGTCTAGAGAGTCATGTGATTTTCTCTGTTTAACTTAATACTATGTTATGCCAAGAGGATTGACTGATTAAATAGGAATACATTATTTAAAATTATGAACATGTTATCATTGACTCATCACTTGACTAAATTCTTTGAAGCATTCTTTTTCCCCTATAGAGTCAAAGATTTTGCCTTATTAGCCATCCACATGTCCTCGAATATCTTTCGGCTCACCAAAGGCTCACATTGTGAGGCGCTTGTCTGGATTTTAAGGCACAACGAATGGCTGTAGAATGCCATCTCTACATAAACCCAAGTGAATGACAGTGAGCAAACTTGCTTTGCTCCCCATTCTGAGCCTTGTTCTAGAGCAGGGGGTTGCTAAGTGTGGCCTCCAATCCAGCAGAGCAGCATTACCTGAGAAGGTGTGATCAATGCTAATTCTCAGGTCCCACCATAGACCTGCTTCATAAAAAACTCTACAGGTGTGTTTTTCCCAGGTTATCAGATGATTCCGATGTGCAATAAAGTTAAAGAACAACCACTGTAAATAAAAATGGCCATCCACCTTTGCATTCAGATACTGAAGGAAGGTGGTGATTTTTTCTTTTCTTTGCAAATATAGCATTTAAGTGGAAACATAAATGTTAGGCTAATAACTTATGTTCTGGACATTCACTCATATTTTTGAAGTGCTTATACATCTCTGAGATCGTGGGGGAAGGAACCATCTTCACTGAACACATCAGAAAATTAAGACCAGGAGAATTTACCAGTATATAACCAAACTGAAATGAGTTATTAGAAGATGGGAAGGGACAGAATTACATATCAGTCTCTCAACCAGACAGATCACACAGCAGTTGGGCACCAAGCTTGCTGGTGGATCCTGTGGGTAACTGCAGCTGACCCAGTATGACCTGGAAAACTTAAAATCCTTGTTCATGTAATCAGTATCTGGTTTCTGCTGACTATTTACAAAATTAAATTATTTTAGAAAACATGAAGAAAACCCAATGACTTGTTTTAAAAATATCAAAACAGTTGAGGTTTATTTTTAATAATTTCTAGTCATATATTGAGTCTATATTTATTCTTACCTTGGACTGATAGTGTTCCATAAATATTTCTGAATTCTTATTATGGACTTAATATGCTTAAAGGCTTAAGATGCAAAAATGAAAACTATATCCCTGTTTTCAAACAGCTCGCTGACATTTGTTACACCTAGAATAGAGGTAATTTATGTTTGCCCATGCATTTATGCTTCTCTGAGCCCAAAAGAGGAAAGGTGCTTTTCTAGAACACATTTTTTCCCTTAAATATAAGGCCCAAAGATAGTGACATCAAACCTGAATTGAAAAAATCTATTGTATCAGTGATTTCAAACAAAATACACAAAGCTTTAAATTCCTACTTAAATATATAAAAATGCAGATTAATTTAAACTCTTTTACACAATTAACATGAAAAAATACTTGTCAATTTTGTCATTAATGCTACTATATGCTTACATTATGTTCATTTACATTACATATCCTATATAATAAAGAGGTAATATGCAAATTGACCATCACACCCTCACACAAGATGGCCGCCCCCATGTGGTCAAAGATGGCCCCACAAGCTGGCTGGCAGGGGAGGGAAGTTTGGGGGGGGGGGACCAGGCTTGCAGGAGAGGGCAGTTGTGGGTGACCAGGCTGGCAGGGGAGGGCAGTTGGGAGCAACTGGGCCATCAGGGGAGCAGTTAGGCATTGATCAGGCTGGCAGGGGAGTGGTTAGGGACAATCAGGCAAGCAGGTGAGCGGTTGGGAGCCAGCAGTCCCGGATTGTGAGAGGGATGTCTGACTGCCGGTTTAGGCCCAATCCTTGTGGAACAGTCGGACATCCCCTGAGGGGTCTCAGATTGAAGAGGGTGCAGGCTGGGCTGAGGGACACCCCACCCCCATCCAGTGCACATATTTCATGCACCAGGTGTCTAGTGTGCAAATAAAATCTATGAGATTAGCTCTACTAGGATCTGTTATAATTAATGCTTATGAAAATTAAAAACATTTCATTGATTGAAATCTAAGATGAAAACATGTGTACCTATCACTAGAAATTACATCATAGATTTGCCTCTTTCCATTAAACATTAAGTGGTTTTTTTTTCAAATCTGATTGTTTTGTCTAATGCTGAAAAGTTAATGCTACTCAAGAAAACAAAAATCAACTTTATGTGTGAGTTTTTAGTTATTATAAAGCATATAATGCAGAATAATTCTTTTCTAGAGATCCCTTCATAATACTTAGAACATGACTCCTTTAATTATGCAAATCAATTAAGCAATATAAATTGTATATATTTATATCAATTGACAACACACAATTTTCTTTTGTAATTTATTATTTAGGGGGATTCAGGAGGACCATTAATGTGCCAAGAAAACAACAGATGGTTCCTGGCTGGTGTGACATCATTCGGATACGAGTGTGCACGGCCTAATCGCCCAGGGGTGTATGCCCGGGGCCCGAGGTTCACAGAATGGATACAAAGTTTTCTCCATTAAAATATTTCCTAAACCGAACACAAAAGTCAGGCACTTTTCTCATTCCACTCTAAAAAGTTTGGAAATTTAGAATTTTGTAAAATATAGTTTCTAAAAGTCATTATTCTTATCTATGCCACTGAAATGCTGTGGGGGAGAGAAACAAACAAAGAAACTAAATTAATCTTTACAATAATAAGTAACTTTTAAATAATACATTTTGGGTTTTATTGTGAGCAGCTATGCTTTCGCAGATAAAATTGTCTTTGCTCTTAATCATTATTTTTATCATATTCTCTTATTTAAAGAAAAATTAGAAAAAGAAGTGAAATAGACTGTTTTGCACAAGGTTTGTTACTGTTTGAAATAAACTGCTGGAAATTACCTACTTTCAGCTTAAACTGCTATTATCAAAAACTCAATAGTCTTCCTGCGTTTCTATCCAAACACATTTCTAATTCATCTTGAGCATATTTTTAATGGTTCCCCTACTCATATAAAAAGTATGTATTCTAAGCTCATGTCAGAGAACTGGACTAAGTTGATTGCATGTCCCTCTCAAATAAGCTAAGTAAACAGCAAACAAGCACAAGTCTATATATCCCTACTACCAAAATAAAAGGTAAATTTACTGATATTGTAGTTTATTGGATCCTTTATTACCTGAATTATTCATGCTATCTATTTCTTACAAGCTGGGTTTTTTTTTAAACTTTCAAAAATAAGTATACATATTTAAGAAATGCAACTAGTAAAAATTTATTTTTCCCGATTTATGTGTGTTACAGTGGATGTTTCTAACATGTGCAGCATTTATTTAAACACAGCTGAATTGCCCATTAGAAGACCAAAAATGTGGAATAAATGAATTTGTTTCACGGCTTTAATCTCTTGGATCATTTCCAGAGTAAGTGCAAACTTCAATTTTGCATGCCACACAAAATATATTGACTCCTTTGGGAAGACAAAATTCCTACCTACTTAATACAAGCACATTCTTGCATGAGTCTATATGTCCAAAGGAATAGATAGCAACTGAAAGATGGGATCAATCAGCACAGACTGGTCTTATGGAAGAAATGAAATTTGGGCTACACCTAAAAGGAATGATCATTATTGAAGTCCTGAAGAGGTACTGGCGACCACTGGTGAGCAATTATAGAATTTATTCTGAGGACAGAAAGCCAGAGTCCCTGAAGATACTATTCAAGACCTTTCCAATGACCTGTTCTTGATAGTTAGGAAGGATAGAACAGCAGGGGTAGGGTGTACTCTTTGATTTACTACCTGGATATTATTCCAGAATTCACCTGCATTTCAAAACACACCTTAAGAACTATGCTCTGAAAAAAACATCCACACCATGTAGTCCTTTAATACTTTTCAAAGGTCATCTGCAATGTTAACAAACCCTTAGGACAGTCTCTTGACCATCTTCTAATAATTGTGAAGTTCATTGTCCTACTCCCTGTAACTTATGGGTTTAGTAATTAATGCCAGAAGAGTTATCCAGGCCTGGATCAAGATGAAAGGCACAACAAGGCCCCTCCCCACAGCTCTGCCTCTCCTGCGTGCAGCTGTTGTAGTCATGGGAGGCAGAGAGAGTGAGGAAAGTCTAGTCTCCTCCCATCCAGTCTTCACGAAAGGAAGACAGGCACGGTGGGAGCTTGGTGAGATGAGGCAGATCCCAGCAGCTGGTCTTCATTCTGCCCAGAAAGATGGGTGGCCAAGAAAAGAAAGGGGAGTGCTCAACATGGGCTGATCTAAGCCTAGGATGCAGCTGTCCATTCCCTCAGTCTGTAGGCAGCTGAAGAGGGGCCAATGCCCACTAATTTCTATTTTGCCTTTTAGTTTTGTCAACCAACTCTAGTTGTGAACTGCCTTAGTGAGATCTCTTGATTAATGGAAAAGGACTGTCTGGAAAAAGCTGAGGTTTAAAACGCTCTATAACCACCACTTTCATTCTCACCGTCCTTAAACAGTAACTTGTTCTCATCTTCATGTACTGATGCAAACATAGGTGTATTTTGTCCATTTAAGAGATTTAGACGACACGAACGCTCATTCTTCAGAAACAAGAATTTTTTATTTGGTTCAAAGGAGCACAGGGACATGTGAAGACTAGTTAGTTACAACTCTCTCTTGAGAAGAAGAAGCCACAAGCATTGAAGAAACCAGGGGATAAGACAGAAGAGCCCCAATTTACTCTCCCAGCCAAAGCCTTAACAATGAACAGTGACCATCCATGCCCTCCAGTCGTTTTTTCACACTAACTCATAACTTTCTTTCCTCGCTGAAATGTTAGTGTACTGTGCTTACCTCCACACCAATGTGACCACTCACCTGGTCCCAACTGTAAAACCCCTTCATTTGCTGATAGAGGCAAATCAGAGCTAGAAGAAAACCTTAGACAAACGATGCAGCTATCTGCCTCCAGTTTTATTCCCAAACCCCAAACAACCCTTTGTTTTGTGGTCAAGGGAGGGACCAAATTGATTCCAGAGCCCTCAGTGAGCTACTTGTGGTTATATAGGCAACAAGTGAAGACATATGATTTATAATGTATATACCACTATTTTTGTTCTAGATTGAGTATATCATTTATACAGTTATTAACAAAGTTATTACAAAATCTGCTGAATTTTAAACTAAAAATAATTGTAAGGCACATGTCTTGCACAATTGAACTTAGACAATTCTTGCCTCTAAGTAAAATATTTGTGTGGATTTATACCACAGTTAATGAAATAACTTCTTATTTCTGAAGAGATCTCCGACACATTGTCTGATCCAAAGCAGAGAAACTGAAAGATGAACCATTTCTAGAAAGGAAACTTTTTCCTATGGTAATATACTTATGCTTGTGAGTTCAGTTGACCACAGTGATAAATTTCTTTAATTAAAACAGCATGTATTGAAAAATGAGACACCATAAAAATAAATATTAGAACAGTCCATTTTTATCAAACACTTACGTAAAGGTAAAATATATTTGCACACCTTAAATTTCAATACAATTTACATTACAGTAACCAGATTACAACTTATGAAAGGTAAAAGGAACAAAAATAACTGCTTCTGACACACATACTGCCGATGTGTTGACAGCAAGTTTATCCGCATGGCCCATTCCACTTACTTGAAGTTTGGGTGCATCATTTCGCAAAATAAGCATGTCTCACTCCATTATTAGCACAGCGTATTTTGTAAATGAAATAAACATAGAAAACTCATTTTAATATTTGCCTCAAGAGGGAGCTTACAGTTCATCTTGCAGATCCTCTGAGATTTCAAGCCATTCCAAGCTAAGGTTCTGATACCATTCCTTATACAAACCTCTGTTTTCTTTTCTGGAGCCAGTCAATGAGTTTTTACACTTCCATGCCACTTTCTTTTCTCGTGCTTTTTGAAATCCACAGTGTGGACTGGTTTGGGCTAGTTTTTGTCCTTCCTTTACTGAAAAACATAAGAAGAAATAAGTTCAATTTAGGAGATTCCTTATAAAACTGGGCATGTCTTGGTCCAAGTGGAGGTATGCATCTCAGAGCTTTATTGTAAAAGTGTCCTTCTAGAGATTGAAAATAGTGGCAGAGTAAGTGGATGCTGCACGGACATGCTCCCAGGAACAAACTGGTATTACAACTAAAATACAGAAAACTTCCTGAATAATCAACAGAAAACTCGCAGGAGATAACCCAGACACCTGAGGACCAAAAGTGGAGAATGCATAGAGACTGGTAGGAGGAACAGAGGCATGAAAGGGCTGGCCAGGTGCCCACAGACAGCAACTGAAGTCAAAGAGCATTTTCTCAGCTATGGGGTGGGGGGTGGGGTGGGGCGGGAGGGTGGAGGTGGTGGAGGGGAGTAGTGCCACTGAGAACTCTGGGATCTAATCCCCAAGCTGGGCCCTACAGCAGAGAGCACCAAAACTGAGGAGGGTACCCACATAATATCTGGCTGTGAAAAGCAGTGGGACCCTGTCTGCCAGAGAGTAACAGTTGAAAATTCAGGCACCCTCTTAAAGGGCCAACATACAAAATTCCCTGTGGAGCCACCCACCTTGTGCTCTGGCAGAAGGAGGGTGAAGTGGACTGGAGCTGTGAGAGCAGAAGCCAAGACTGGAGATTTGGAGGATAGAGCCCAGAAGGCAGACACCCCAAGTTTCCTGGGCTGAGTTATTCCCTCACACAGCAGAGTACATCTTTCCCACATAAACATTTGCCTTGCTTGTGGGGGAAGACAGTCAACACACCCTATTGGAAAACACCTTGCCCTGAGGCCACTAAGAGATTAAAAGTAACAATTAGCCTCCAGGCATAAGCAATTGCCCCATCCTGTTGAAAAAAAAACTCTGCCAAACCTAAAGACAATTGCCTGGGGGGTAGGGGGTGCAACTGAAGTTGGAATACTATTAGTTTGTAGGCAGAGGTGGTCTCTGGAAGCTTTGAGTCTTTGCCTGATCTAATTAGTCAGAAACAGCCTTTAACACTTTCCTGCACTCACGACTGAGAGGTGTAGAGGATCACAAACCCAAACAGAAAGCCAAAATGAGAAGACAAAGAAACAACCCCCAAATGAAAGAACTAGAGAATTCTCCAGAAGAGCTAAATGAAGCAGAGATAAGAAATTTATCTGCAACAGAGTTCAGAGTAATGATGATAAAAATGCTCAACAGCGTGAAAAAAGATATAGTAACTATGAAAAAAGAACAGTCTGAGTTAAAGAATGAAATAACACAAATAAAGAACACATTGGTAGGAATACACAGCAGATTAGGGGAAGCTAAGAATTGAATCAGTGAATTAGATGACAGAGTTGAAAATATCAGTCAATCAGAAAACCAAAAAGAAAAAATAATTAAAAGTGTCCTTTTTCTCTCACCAGCCTACTTTTTCATTCTTACAAAAAATCCTAGATTATTACAGCCTGTGAAGATTGCAAACAGTTCATATGAAATTATGAAAAAAAATAAAATAAAATAGATGGTTCTCTGTTGGATTCATCATACTTTAGAATTCATACACACACACACACACACACACACACACACACAAGTATGTCTGACACAATGCCAACATTTTCATTGTAATCACCATTAAATCTTCATTTTCTTTGGAATATGATTTTTGAAATGTTGTTTTTTGAATATTCCTCCATTAGCATATTCTGTATTGAATGCCAAATCATCAAAATAGTGCTTTTCTCCTAAGTATAAGAACCTTTCTATTCTCCTCTTCCCATCAGTTTTTTGGTCCTACAATTAAGACACCTAATCCCTGGAAGTTTAATTATTGTTTCAGTCTCTGAAAACAATGTAGATTCAGGTGTTGATAATTTATGGGTATCTGAGTTTCCCTAGATCTGAGATTGATCTTCACTCTCATCAGATGTAGAGTTCTGGCCCACATTTCCTTGTGCCCCAGGCTGTGCTATCTTCAACTCTCCATAAAATGTCCATTTCTTAGGCTCCTGCAAAGAGCCTGTTCCTAAGCACACCCACCATCCTATTCCAGACTACTGATCAAGCTCTAGATTCCTTTTGATCTAGTTTCCTGAGAATGAGCCCTCACCTGCACAACTAACCACTTCCTGTTTCTGTGTACCTTGCTCTCTACTTCCTTCCTCCCACAGACCCTCCCAACAGCACCCTCTCCAATCGCCACAGGTCTGCCTTCTACCCATCCTTTCACTCTCTCTACCTGACCTTGCAGAACTCCTTAAAGGGAAAAAAAAGAAATTCTTCCTAAACAAGCCTGAGCAATATATTTTTATAATATTAGTAAAATGACTTCAACTTAACTGTGAATTTGTTACTAATAAAATAGTATGTTCCATATATATGTTTTGGAGACTTGCATCTAAATAAGTAAGAGCAACACATCTTTATGTTGACATCTTCTATGAAGTCATCTAGAAAGGAAAATAAATCAAGCAAAGTTGATGAAAAACATGAAATATTTTTTTAATGGTGAAAAAGGTGATGTGATTATTACTGTAGTTTTTAAAAATATATTTTATTGATTTTTTGCAGAGAGGAAAGGAGAGGGATAGAGTTAAAAACATCAATGAGAGAGAAACATTGATCAGCTGCTTCCTGCACACGTCCTACTGGGGATGTGCCCACAATCAACCTACATGCCCTTGACCAGAATCGAACCTGGGACCTTTCAGTCCGCAGGCTGATTCTCTATCCAATGAGCCAAACCAGTTAGGGCTATTACTATAGTTTTTGTATAACATTCGTATTGTATTTAGGAGTTACTACTAGTTAAGGAAACAAGAGTTATTATTTTGAACATGACATGGAATGATAGAAACCATCATGTGTACCAGGTTGGAATTTAAATTTTCTGCAAGGCACTCAGATGATAATGGAGTTGAGTCCTTGATGAAGTTTCTCCTTGCTTTCCTGGAAGAAAGGAAAAGGGGAGCATCTAAGAACAAATGAATTAACCACTACAGCTAATTCTGGCACCTAGAGGTACTCTATTTTGGTTTATTTTTTTCACTCTGAGAATTTCAAACAATGAAAACTCCACAGATCTTCAAGATGGGAAAACCTGGAAGACTTCTGAATGAATAGAATCTCTACAGTAACACGCACTATTTGGAAGAAGGCAAACAAACTTCAGAGAAAACTCAGTTACTGGAACTTTAGAAATATTTATCTTAGAAGTGAGAAGATCTACATAATATTTTTCAAAAATTTTTTTTCAAGCTGACTTGTTATTTACGGCTCTTACTTAACAGTTTGGCTGGGTTATGAGGGATTTATATCCAATCCTCCCTCTACATCACTGCTTTCCATAATGATAAATCATCTTTCCACAGTCTTAGCAATTAAGGGAAGAAGCTAGATATGACTACTGTCTTTATTTTGTACAAGATACTGAAAAACAATTTAAGACCAGAAATTGAACCGTGATCTCCTGGTTCATAGATCGATGCTCAACTACTGAGCCATACTGGCCTGGCTATTTATTATTATTATTCAAAATATCTTACTTAAAAAGCCAGTAAATCATAGGTTGGATCCTTTTTTAAATTTATGTGAACGTTAGAGTTTACATCTATTTAACGTTTCTCTGGGACTTTTTTAACTTAGTAGATTCTTTAGGGTTTATTTCAGGAAAAGAAGAAGAAAAATTAACATCAAAAGAAAAAAATGATGGGCGAATTCTGATCAATTTCTATTAGAAACACTCTGATATAGATGTCTAGTCCAGCAATTTTCAACCTTTTTCATTTCATGGCACATACAAACTAATTACTAATAGCCGGTAGCACACCAAAAATTATTTTTTTCCAATCTGACAAAAAAAAATATTTCAAATTTTTATTCATTCACACCAGACAGCTGTTGTTATGTTGACCATTGTCTTTTTTTTTTTTTTTTTTTTTTTTTTTTTTTTTTTTACAATCTCAGGAAAAAGAAGTCAGTGCCCCTGACTAAATAGTGTGGTAATGCGTATTTTAAAAATTCTTGCAGCACACTGGTTGAAAATCGCTGGTCTAGTCCATTCTAACAAACATATTCTTATTTAAATCCAACATCTTTTCCTTTTTTCCTTCCATACATATTTATATTTCCTACATTAATTATTTTAATTGAATTGACAAATTGATACACATGGAAAAATTTTATCTCTAACTCAAGGATATGGATAAACAGATATAAAAGAATGCTCCTAAGCCCGGCCAGCATGGCTTAGTGGTTGAGCTTCGACCTATGAACCAGGAAGTCACAGTTCGATTCCTGGTCAGGCCACATGCCCAGGCTGTGGGCTCGATCCCCAGTGTGGGGAATGCAGGAGGCAGCCGATCAATGATTCTCTCTCATTATTGATGTTTCTATCTCCTTTCCTCTCTGAAATAAAAAATATATATATTTTTAAAAAGAATGCGCCTAAGAATCTGGCTATTAAAATGTGTCATTTTATTTCAAGCTGCCAACCAAAAAGTGACCTATTTTTACCAGTGTGCTTTATTTCCTATACTTAAAAGATCCTTTTGAAATAAAATAGGTTATGACTTGAAATTTTGAAAAAATACTACAAAGTACACCTACCCAAAAATCAAGTTTTTCATTCAACTTGAGGTCAAGATTGAAAGGTTTAGCATTAATGCTTATACTTAATAAACAAGTGACAGTATAGTTGCATATGTTGCAAGCTTACAAGCATTCAGATCCAGCACATACATTAGCTATGAGCCCCAAGGCAGAGCATGTAACCCACCTAAGCCACCATCTTCTCAACTGAAAAATAGAAACTGAAGGGTACCTACTTCATATGGCTTGTGAGGATGGAATGAGATGATACATGAATCCTATGAAAAGGTATATCTTACCAGATTTTATATACTGCATTGGTACTGACAGATACAAAAATCAGAACTTTCTTAAGGCAAATCAAAAATATAAGTTTAGGCTAATTTAAAACTTTTCGAGGTATCTTTACATATATGAATTATTTACCTTTTATGCAGCATCTGGAAACAGCAGGTTCCAAAAGCAACCAGTATCAATAAGAGCAGTGGTATTGTTGGTATGACAACATAAATGAGATTGGGAATTATGCCTACAAATGTAAAACAGCCAGTGTAAAAAGACAGCTGAAGCAGAATTCTAACACCAAAGTTATATAAAAAGTTTGCCCAGAATTTAAGGTAAAATAAAACTATTATCAATAAATAGATTCTCAACAAGGTTTTTCCCTAAGTGCTAAATAGCTGAATGACATAATATATTCATGTTTGTTAAAACTCAAAAACAAAATCATACTGCATGCTCCTATTCAGTGTCCATATTTCCAAAAGTATTATTAAATCTGCTATTCAGATAGGGCTAGTTTTCATAATGTATTCATGATCTTTGCTATCTCACTTCACTAATCCTTCTTAGTTCTTATTTAGAGATCCAAGCACTGATTATTAAAGAATAACAATCGTTATTAAAATAACTGTTCATTTATTGGATACATAATTATCTTAACCAATAAGCTCAGTGCCAGGATGATATGCAAGACTCCTTGGCATTACACCAAAATGTGTAAATATTAACTGATGATATAGTCATAACCCAGCAACACAAAACTTCAGAGGCATGAAGATTTGCTCTTAATTAAATTCTAAAAATGAATCATTTTTAATCCTGTTCCATCACACTTGATCGTGTTGGGTATTCTCAGTAAAATAAAAAATTGAAGTTCCAGATAGCATGAGTTTATTGAACATTTCACCAATGTCATAGGGGGAAATATCCCTAATGTAATTATTTACTGATTATCTTTAATTAGGTTTAGACGTTCTGAATGGTTTAAAATCAGGCATCTGAAAAATGAAGTGCACTAAGCTTTCACATCATATCCATACAGGAAAAGCAAATTGAAAACTATGCATTTATTTTCTAGCCAATCGAAAGCAGACATTGTTAATCTAAATAATTCTGGCCAAAGTAGACCAACCTAAGCAAACTATCCATTTAACTACATATCACTTCCTTTGTTAACATGAGACAGTATATTAGCTGAGGTCCAAGGATGGGGCATTTTGAAGATAATATATTTTCATCAATTCCTTAGCCTCCAACAGGTAACAGGTGACTTCAAGAATTTTAAAAATTCACAAAATATTTTTTCCCTTTTCCAAATACCATCATGATCCCTCATCTGTGTTAGTAAAGAAAAAGAGACAGTATTCCCCCACTCTTTCATGGATTTTGGATGACCTGTGGAAAGATTTTGAGACTTTGGGTCTTTGGCTCAATCTTCAAAAAGCAGCTAGGATAAGTCACCATTCCTGTCCAGTTGGCATAGGGCCAGGCTAAAACGATTTCTAACTAACATGCCATCTGCACTGGGATTTCATTGTTTCTTTTGCAGACAGTGGTATGTTGGAGGCAGCTGGGTTGTGAGATCATTGCTTGCATTCTTCCCACCTTGCTGTTCAGTGATGTTGCTTTGGTAGCTTGAAAACAGCCAGGGAGTATTTACATCAGAAAATCCCAAAGTCTACAAATCAGTGGTTTTGTTTTGTTTTTCTTTTAATATTTATTGTTGAAAATATTACATAAGCCCCCTTGATTCCCCCATTGACCTCTTCTAGCCCAGCCCCAGGCTTTCATCACCCTACTGTGTGTGTCCATGGGTTATGCATACATGCACACAAGTTCTTTGGTTGATCTCTTTTTATTTTATACCCACCTCACCCTGGCCAATCCTTAAACATTTACCAGCACAACACTATTGGCAGGCCACTGCATGTGCAAATTACATCATAATTCCTATACATTTTTGGGGAAGTTCCTTGTAGGTTCAGATTGTAATGGGGGTTTCTTAGTTTGGTGCTAGCTACATAATCAATCAGAAGAAAACAAAATAGGTTCTTGTATGCAAAAACTAGCTTAGCACCAGTTGTTCTAACCTAGTTCAAAAGTAAATGTCCATAGGCCCATATTTAGTGCACCATTTCACCAAGCAACAAGAAAAGTTGGGGCCAACTAGAAGCAGAGTTTAAACAAACAGTTTCTGTTCTCCATAGAGGATTTAAAGACACAAGAACGAATTACCTGCTTCAGTAACAACCAAATTTTGATGGGTGTCTTCTGGTTGGTTTGTAAAGTAAGTCTTCTCTCCAGGAGTTGTTGGCTTGATCTCTTTAGATAATAAGTACAGACATCAAATGATCATATGTAGTGATCAACATGAGAAATACAAATAGATGAAAATAAAAGTTTATTATAAAACCATATAAACATCAGTTTTGACTTCTGAACAACTTACAGCTAAGAATTATATTTTGAGTTCCAAATTTACTTGAAATTATCTAACTAGAAAGTCAACATTTAATTATCTTTAAATCAAGCATCCACTTGGTGAATCCTTGCAACCATAACCACATTAGCAATCAACAGCATGTCTACAGACAGTAATATCAAAGCAGGCACGAAGCCAGGCAAAGATAACCAAGAAGCAGTCACCATGAGACTGTGAGCTACTAACTGCAATTCAACAGCAAGCAAAGATGATCTTGGTACTAATATAAATGTAATATTTAGGTTCCTCCTCACAATAATAGTCAGCAGGAGATTACATATGGATTGCATTTGGAATTGATGATTCAAATAATGTTCTAAGCACATTTCTATCCTATACAAATAATGCCATTCTTAGATATTATTTCTAATAGTGTCTACCTCTTTTTAAAATATGATAATAAACTAAGGTTTGTGAATTATTTCTTTCCCTGGTTCTATGAGATGAGATCTCCTCAATTCCATGCCCTTAAAAGATATTGAAAATCTTACCAGGACCTGGTACTGCTCTATCACCTAATTTTTTCTAGGTCTTATTTGTTAAATTAATAGTTCAGTGACTATATTAAATTATTAAGAAAATTCCCTGTAAATTTATTTTTATTTGTTCCAAAAATATAATTTCCTATTTATTTTTGTCAAGTGATGGAAAGAAAAGCTCATATGCAGTATCTTATATTCATTTCAGAATAGTAAATCATTTCAATGTAATAATTACTGCTCTTATTGACCACATATTCTCTATTCATTGGGAGTTTAATCATATACCATCCTGTAATAATATTTACTATCCTTATGTACATATTTCACCCTGATCCTTTAATAGGCTCCACTAGGTTTCAGATACAGTCCTACCCTACACTCATTCTTCTGCAGAATTCAGTTAGGCACTCTATGCCTATCTCAACTGGTATTTGTGGAACAAATAATACAGATATTATGTAATTGCTTTACACAGAACTCATCTTAACACAGAAAATTATTTATTAAATAATTTTAATAAATTTTAATTTAATGCAGTTTCTGATTAAATAATGACATTTTAGAAACATAATTCCATACATGTTATTTTTAATGTCTAAGAACAAGTGTATATAGTGCAATTTAGTAAATGCAAAAATTAGATTCAGATATATCTCCATACAAATGCATTTGGGTAACATTGGTAGACCTATAGAATAGATATGCAGCTCTTTGGACAATAACAAAAATGATGGTGAAGAGAATAGGCAAACTCGGAAGTAAATTATTCACTTTAAATATGATTAGTCATGCTTAGATGGTATGTTGGAGCAGAAAGAGAAGACTAAGTCCAAATTAAACAGTAGTTCTGGTATAGTTAGAGAAATAATTATAGTTCAAAATAATTTGTGTTATAATTTGTAAATTTTAAGTAGGCCCACTGCTTAATCCTCCAAGTCCCTCAGAAAGCTAACCGTAAGTTCACAAAGTATAAATATTTGAAGATTTAGGTAGAATATAGGAGAGAAAGGAAAAAATAATTTTATGTCTACAATGCTCTTCCATGAGTAATATAAACCTAGATTATCTAATACAAAACAAGTCAAGAAGATTCTGAGATTATAGTGTTCTGAATAATGTAACTATGAAGGCCAAAATAAACAAGTAAAATAAAATAAACAAATACACTTAGGTCAAATTTTTCATCTAAAAGCTCAGAGAAGCCCTGACCGGTTTGGCTCAGTGGATAGAGTATTGGCCTGTGGACTGAGGGGTCCCAGATTTGACTCTGGTCAAGGGCATGTACGTTGATTGCGGGCACATCCCCAGTGGGAGGTGTGCAGGGGGCAGCTGATCAATGTTTCTCTCTCATTGATGTTCCTAACTCTCTATCCCTCTCCCTTCCTCTCTGTAAAAAATCAATAAAAATACATTTAAAAAAATAAAAGCTCAGAGAAGAAGACAATATTGTACTAAGAAGATTCTATAATATAATCTGTTTAAGAGTTGAGTACATACAGTTGCAAATAGAAACTACCAGAGAATTTCAACTTTATATTTTTAAGAAAAAAAAAAGAAGATAAAAACCATAAAAGTGTAACAGATTTAGCTTTGTAAAGGCTTCTGAAAGGGTAATGATGAATTTAGCAACCTAGGGGCTGCTAAAGAATAAACTCACCAGGGAAAGAAAGCTGGCTAATACACTCAAGAGCAGGATAAACATGACAGAGGAGTAAATCTAATTCAACTAATCCCTTGTGCTTCATGGTCTTATGAGAAAAAGGAATCATGTAATTTCAAGAGAATAATGGAAATAGCAGCACTTGATTATGATTGCCTCCCATGAGTACATGAGGTCAAGTAGACAGAAGAGTTAAAATGTATTTCCAAACACTGAGGAGACAAATAGCACCAAAAGAAATCCCAAAGCCTAAGTATCTAATTTGACTTCCTTAAATTATTTTTAAAAACGAGTTTATACAGTTTTGATTAATCTCTCTTTTGGTCAAATATCAATTCAGCTGAGCTGTCTTATTCAAAGTAATTCACATTACTATTTCCATAGGAAACTACATTGCGGTAGCTTAGGTCAATGTAATCTTCTCATTAGCTGCATAGGGCAACGAATTAGAGACTTGAAGCAAAAGCTGATTAAGGAGGCATATTTCAAAGAATGAGGATCACAGCAAGAACATGGCACACGTCCCTACTTTTTTTCATGATTGTTGGTTCAATGAGCTATGACCAGTTTGATATTCACTGAAGAGTATGTGCCAAGAATCGTGCCATGAAATCATAAGGTAATGTTCCTTTGATCCCTTAAATTCCCCAGATGATCACCCAAAGAACTGTTGCTCAGATGTGTAAATCTATAGGTGCTTTGGTGACATACCTCCTTCATACACACCATACTAAATATTTAAAACTAGAGGCCCAGTGCATGAATTTGTGCACGGATGGGGTCCCTTGGCCTGCCTGGCGATCAGAACCCATCTAGGCTGCGGGAGGTTGGCCAGCAGGGGGGAGGGGCCGTGGGAGGTTAGCTGGCCAGAGGGAGGGGTTGCAGGAGGTTGGCTGGCCGCGGAGGTTGGCTATAGGAGTGCACTAACCACCAGGAGGCAGCTCTTGCATTGAGTATCTGCCCCCTGATGGTCAGTGCATGTCATAGTGACCGGGCGTTCGGTCGTTCAGTAATTTCATCACTTAGGCTTTTATATAGAGAGATATTTTAAAATAGATGTTTACTTTTCATTAAATCAATTTACAAAAACACAATTTTACTTTAATACTGTAAATGATTATTTCTTCTTAAAGACACCTTCCCAGATGTTCCTAGGTACTCCCTAGTTCTATTTCTAGTGACTGTAGTTTCTATTTCTGGTGACGCTAGTTTCTATAGTTTCTAGGTACTCTGGTCCTAACTCTGTGGCAGCTTGTCCTGTGGCCCACAGTGTGCTTCAGTATACTGCATGGCAGGGCAAGCTGCAGAGTACAGTGATGTTTCACAGCAGAAAAACAAAAAGAGCCAAAGGTAGCACAGCTTACAGATAAGACAATACAAGCAGATATGCACATCATCTGTTAATGTCAGTTTACAATACATCCTACCTGGTTCATACTTGCAGATGTAATTGTGCTTCATGTTGCACCTGTCATCATTCCACTGGTAAAGGTAGGGGCCTCCAAGGCCAGGATTGGCCGTAGGTTGATGATACATCACAACGCACTTTTCACTTCCACAGGAAGGTTCATCCGCATACCAGTTTCTGGAAATAAAGGGTGCAGCAAAAGTAGGATTACAATTGTTCGTGCAGAAAAATAATGCAGTAATTAATAAATAACAATGCATTAATTAATAAATAATAATAACACAATGATTGATAATAATACAATGACTAATAAAACAACACAATGATTAATAAATAGTAACACCAGAACTGTGTTCCACATACTGAAAACCTCCTCTTGTCCTACTCTGTATAGAGCAACAGGAACACTTCTAAGTGATGTCACCTGTTCTATTCTGACATCCTACCTACAGGGAAGAGAAATCTCCCTCAGGAGCCGACTCACCGGTACTGGGAGCTGCTGCCATCGGACCAGCGGTAGAGGTCTGGGCAGGCGCCAGACGCTTGCCCCTCTCCACTCCTCCAGAGGCCTATCCAGAAATCGCCATCAGAAATCCCCGTGCCTGGTTTTGTCAGGTTTTGCAACATGCTTTCTATCAACTTCTGTTCTGCTGCGTTCTCCAGGCTGAGCAGGGCTCCCCCCTCACTCTCACAAGCCAGGCGCGCCTCCTGGAAGCTCACTCGGCTGGACAGTTCCTGGAAATAGGCCAGTTTGTAGCAGGGGTGCTGGTAGTCAGCAAAACACACCTTTTGGCCTAAAAAGCAAACAAACAAACGACGAACATCAGATGACTTAAACACACAGGCAACAAAACAAAAAGTTTGATTTAAAAAACACTCTCAAAATTGAATTTCACATACACCTACATATTAAGCAGAATGAATTTTCCTGAAGTCATAACTGAATAGGCATGATCATATCGGGTCATAATGAAGCCATAGTGTATGGGACTTAGCTAACTCTACCAGCAATGGAATATTTTATTTACACCCTCCCCTGTTTTACCCCCAAGCATGTAAGCCACAATGATACAAACTCTCTCCAATGGTCCAGCTGTTTTGTTTCTCATTATCTTCTTTGGTTCACCTCTCAACTCTGGTTGTCAACTTCACAAACTGCCAGGAGCCCCTCTCTGTCCCTGTTCCTTCTCTCCAACCTGCTGCCCGTGACCTACTTAGTCTTTGTCTGATTTCAGCTGAGGTTTAGCCTTGGCAAATAGACTATCATACTATTTTATGTAAAATTAAGTGAAATGACTTTATGCTAAGAAATTAAGCACAACGTTTTACTGCTTTCTTGTGGTTCATCTGCATGAACATTATTTCTCTTGAGATTGAAGGCTTTTTTCACTGTGTATTTAATTTTGTAGCTGAGCCAGAAACGTTGCCAGTTATGGTGGCTGGAGGTGTTATTGTACTTAAACACTGGGAACAAAATGAAGCATCCCAGATTTACACTTTTAATTACAGTGCATCACACCGAGCCAGTGCTGGTACACAGCCCTTCTCCCCGAGTAAGCAGCTGATCACCTCTGATGGCACGCAGAGGCAGGAGGGAGCGGAAATCAGCGCAAGGCCATTCACCTCACAACAGTGTTTGAGTGACAGGCATCCGGTAACTTGACACAAGCAGAGAACAGCCAGTTAATAAAATGGCAGCCAGTTGTCCTCTGTCTCATTAACCCTGATCTGGACCCAGGAGCAACACATTGAATCATATGAACAAATTAGCAGACTGCCCCAACTAATTGTTAATGAAAAATAACAGGCAGGTATGAATGCCCTCGGGAAACTGGAATTAAAGAGACTTCAAATGGACAAATCCGTCAGAAACATTCCTTGAGAGATGATTATGGAAGTCCCAATGATTGATTCTAGCATAATTGTTATTTAAAAAAAATTTTCTCCTAGTCTATTATTAAGTTTTGAGATGACTTCATTATTAAAAAGTGTTTCTGGTAATATTTTAACAATGCCATTAAACCTCGTGATTTTATGCCTATATTTTTACTTCTGGTAATATGCCAACAAATGCCATGAAGCCTAGTGATTTTCATGTCTATATTTTTAAATCAAGCTCTGGTTCCATTTTCATCTTCTGCATCCTTTACATACTTCTAAGTTTCAAAATATCTCTCAACTGCATTCCCTTGAGGTTTCAATTTGTTTAGTTTTTCATTCTGAGAAATCTCAGTCTTGGATTTGATTCCAGTACTTTTAAAATATTAACCTTGTCCAACAAGATTGTTTTGCAAGATGTCAAAACGCCAAATTAAAAAAAAAAATTGATTAGCCAGAAGTTTTAATAAGTAAACGTTATTTATATAACAAATATATACACATTCAGAGGATTCATATGTATGATTTGTATGCCAAAAGTCTCTGCTCATTATCTTCCTTATATTAAAAATATATGCAGCACATATTTATTATTTATGGTGAGGGTACAAAAATGATGAGACTAAACTTATTTATAAAATGAAGATAGTGCTTCTAATTAAATGCATGACAGCTTTTGGTGTCATGAGAAAATTCCTAATGCCACTGTTAGCTATTAGCCAAGTATAAATGTCAGTCTGTAGAGAAATAATAATAATAAGAGAAAATCCATAGGCAGGGGTTATATTTAAAATAATTAACAACTAATACTGCCTGGGCCCTGGATGATAGCCAATCTGATGCTCGCTGTGGCTGTGGCTGTGGCTGTGGCTGTGGCTGTGGCTGTAGCTGTGGCTTTGGCTGTGGCTGTGGCTGTGGCTGTGGCTGATGGAGTGGTCCAGGAGTCCTGGGCCAGGGGGTGGAGACTGTGTGGCTACATTGCAGGGGATCTCTCTGAGAATTGGGACAGTGGCCAATTACCAACTACAGATAGACATTGACTCCAAAGTGTATTGATTGAATATCAACTGTGTCCACAGACTTTGAACTGAAAAGTCACTAGCAGTTCAGATCTAGCATGGCAGTTTCCAGGAAATTATGGAAACATTGCAGTTTTTTAATGCTATACATAGATCATAGTCAGTTAAAGCTGACGCTGTGAATTTCTTTACATCCAATTGTACTTCACTACTGATTTCCACCTTCTCAGGCAAACTTAGTCCATGTTGCAGCAAAAGAAGTAGCGATTGAACTGCTCGCTGTCATTTCAGCTGACCATTGCGCTGTAATCGCAGTGGAACTCCAACAGCTGGGAAACAGATGTTGCCCTGATTCCCAGAAAAGTCCCATTAATACGGATCTGCTGGAAGCAACTTTTCCCACTTCTGTAAAGGCTAATATTCCTAGAGAACCATTATGGTTCCCTCCCTTTTCATTCTGTGAGATCACAGAGAGAATTTCCTCTTCTCGTACTTCTAAATGTTATATTCAGATAAAATCTTCCACCCATCACTTTGAAATACAGGAGTTCTAATCTTCCATCTATTCCATCTACTTCATCTAACCTTCTATCGACTAGTCTACCACCCATAACATATTCAGGTAAATATTCCGATAACAGTGTAACACCTTTTGCTACATGAAGGCTAACTTGATACTATCTAACAATAATTTACTAAATGTTACGTAGCATCTGTAGTGAGAAATATCCTTTGCTTGTTGGCTTATTTACAAGAGGGAGAAAAGACCTTCTACCTAGGAGTCTATACCTATTGGTTTCACATACACACACACATCTACATATGTACCCAGAAACTTCTATTTAGAGATCATTCTCAGTATTGCCTATTAAAATAAATATTCCTATCAATATCAGAGCCAAGACTATGCTACTACTTCCATGAATATATGACTTTGTCTTTTTTTCTTAGTCATTAAAATTCCTTTAGAGCTAAATATTGGCAGAGTTTTCAATACTTCTGGCAATAATGTAAAAGTGGGGCCAAACTCATAAATGCATTGCACTTTACTTTTTTCTTCCTGAATAGAAAGGGATCTTGGTGTTATTTTGCTTATATGTATTAACGTTCTGACAGGTGAGTCGTCAGTGTGCTAGGAAAGTAATAACATTTTCCTTAGACCTCATACTATAATCATATATTATTGATATTAACTCAACATTGAATTTATATCCCATTATTCAGTAAAATGTACAAGACATTTTATGAATTCCTATTGTTCAGTTATGGCCTACCTTAGGCGGCCCAGAAAAAGTTGTACAAAAGAGGATTTACATGATAAACCCAAACCAGAGACTGACTGGATTTCAAACATTTTATCAGAATCGCACAAAAGAATTTGTTTTTCGTAATTCTTCCTTACTCCCCTTAAAATCACATTAAGTATGTTGATACTACAATATACAGTGTCACATGACCTCTGATGGCAATGCTGACACTTTCAAACTAGAAAGAAAGGGAAAGCTATGGATTCCATGTTCTGCTTTCAGGGTTCAATATTACACCAACTTCTTAAGAATTTTCCTTATAAAAATGTTTTGTAATAATAAACTTCATTTTTGCAGCAGAGATTGCATGATGCAATGAGCTTCATAATGCACTACGAAGATGTGCTGGAATCCATTTCCTACATTGGTAAACAAAACAAAACAGCAGTCTTGGGTCATTTGTCGAATGGTGGTGCAGCTGCAAGCCCTACCTCTCCAGCTAGGAAATACCACATGCTTCCTGACAAGGAAATGAGATTCCTTTTTTAATTAAAAAATTCTAATATTTAAAGTCAAGATCTAAATAACAAATGGTAAACCATTTGTGTGACTTAAGATTTCAAGCATTCAATCAATCAGAACTGGCTTGGAATCCCAGAGTTCTACTTGAACTTTGGGGACATTGAGGACATTAATGTTTTCTTTCCTAAAAAGTGGGAGTGGCCCTGGCTGGTTTGGCTCAGTGGATAGAGCATCGGCCTGCATACTGAAGGGTCCTGGGTTCGATTCCAGCCAAGGGCACATGCCTGGGTTTCGTGCTCGATCCCCAGCAGAGGGCATCTGATCAATGATACTCTCTCATCCTTGATCTTTCTATCTCTCTCTCCCTCTCCCTTCCTCTCTGAAATCAATAAAAAAATATATATTTTAAAAAAAAGTGAGAGTGGTTATGACTTTTAAAGAAATAAGAATCATAATAGTAGCCTGACATTTATCAAGAGCTTAATATGCAGGGCCTCAAAGTTAGCACAATCCATGCCTTTGGGTAAATTAGGAAAATATCTCTCCTGGTGATATAGGCTGTTCAGCTAGAAAAAAATAATAATAATGTGTTTTCTCGTAGGTGGCCTCAGCTCCAGGCACAGGGCTGGCCACACGGGGTCCGTCTCACAGCTCCTTGAAAGTCAAGCAATTTTCCCAAATTCACACAGCTCACAAGTGGTGAACTCAGGGTTGCAAACCAGGGAGCCAGGCTCCACAGTTCATACATTTACCCCAGAGGTGTCTCAAATAGAACTTTTTTCCTAAGGTGAAAGATTTCATAGATAAAGGGATTGATGAATATATTCATTATTTGTGTTTCCCATGTTATAATTATTAGTATTGATCCATATTGATTACTGGATATATGCAAGGGGTTGTGCCTTGAGAGTTTGTTTCTAAGCAGATTGTGGGTTTTCTCTTACTGAACATTTAGCCACACGATTAATATTGGAACATCGATCTAGTATTTTCAGACCATGTATGTCTTTAATGATTGTTTTATTGCGCCTCCTTTTCCCCCCAAATAAAACAAACAAGACCCAAGCTGATCCCGCCCCCCCCCCCCCCAATTACAAGGAGGATAACTAGAATCAAGTTGTCAGGCCATGTTATATCATCCCTAATGTGTGAAAGAAACAGTCTCTCCTGGCAGTGTATGCATCCAGCCACCTAGCACAGAGCACCGTTACAAAAAGTAAAAATGGTTAGTGAGGACATCAGCCGGATTTCCGCTTGTACCCCTTTATTAAACAACAGTGCCTCTTTTCTTGTGTTAATGGAATAGATATTGCCATCTCCAGGAAAAAGTGTTCTAAAAACAAAGCCATAAAATGCTGAAAAACAGCAGTTAGGGATTAATGGCTATGATGAATGTGCAGTTTATTAAATGACTAGCAATAAGATTAATTTGTTCCTTTCTTGCCCAAGAGATGCTTAAAGTAATTGCATCTTTGAAAACTGCACCGTCATCACTTTATGCTTTTGATGATGTCATGGAATACTACCAGAGGCTGGGATAACAGTTCTTTGTATCTCCTTTGCTATTATGTTAATCTGTTGGCTACTGATCATCAGCATGATTTTGCAGTATTTTGTGGCTTCTGTGTGATAAAAAGAGAGGTCTCTAAACCATCCAATCTTCTAAATAAAACATTTGCCAATTTTAATAAGTTCCAACTAATACATATTAAAATATCCTGCAGAAATTTGGAGGTACCATGAAACATACTCAATGCCATTTTGCAGCACAAACAGGTTGGGGATCACTGCTGTGTGCACTAAAAAAAAAAAAAAAAAAAAAAGAACGAAAGAAAGAAAGAAAGAAAAAAAAGAGGGAGAGAGTAAAAGAAAAAAAAGAAATGTTACTTCAAAACACTTCATATGTTTAAAAATACCCACATGCTCTTCAATACATCTTCCCATCTTTGAAACCAGAATTTTGAACTCTTCTTTTTCATATGTATCTCTATCTCCATAAGTAAACTCCTCTTACCTTTGTCCTAAGGATCCCATTACCTACCAGTCACTTGACAAAATTAAATGGCTGCAGCCCCTGGAGGTACTCTCTACACATCTGTGTTTAGCAACAAACCGGGACAGGTCTAAGACCCTAAAAGTAGTTCCCAACTTAGAGCCATACATTCACTACGTACTATCTGATTGTTATCCTCATGATTGGATATTTGTATTGCATATCCATGCATCAAAATAAGCATGGCCTCTGACCTGTAAAAATACTTTTCTACTACTGCTAGATGCTATCTATGAACTCTTTTTTTTTTTAAATTCTTTTCTGCTTTACTTCTTTCTAGTTAACTTTTTAAAAATATATTTTATTGATTTTTTACAGAGAGGAAGGGAGAGGGATAGAGAGTTAGAAACATCAATGAGAGAGAAACATCGATCAGCTGCCTCCTGCACACTCCCCACTGGGGATGTGCCCGCAACCAAGGTACATGCCCTTGACCGGAATCGAACCCGGGACCCTTGAGTCCTCAGGCCGATGCTCTATCCACTGAGCCAAACCGGTTAGGGCCGTCTATGAACTCTTACAGGGAAGATTATGATGATGAAGTTGTTTGAAATGCTTTTTAAAAATATTTTCATTTCCTTTATGAATAATGCTCTCAACTGTTAAAAGGATGATGTATTTTAAAGTACTGGAAAATATCCTATAATGGAATATTTTAAAGTGCTAAAATGAGAATGTCTATGCAGGATTATTTTATGAGTTTCTGTCATTTTTCTGGGGTGATTATGGTGGTATACTACATGGACATTATAAATAGCTGTATTGATATTTAATAAATAGAAAATGTATTTAATATATTGTAAGTATATTCCTACTGATGGTCCCAAGGAACTTGCTGCAGTCAACAGACACTTGAGGATTTGGGTAGATGGTCCCTAGTGGCATTAAAAAGTTGATGCACCGCTCAAAACTCAACGCTGACCAGGCAGACATTAGACCTACTACTTCCAAAATGTCCAGATTTAAACTGTTCTGTCCTCATGCCATTTTGTCTGAAATATATATTTTTTAAAATATTGTCTTCAAAGATTAAAATCGCAAATCAATTTGTAATGCTTAAATGTCAATGTGAACTTGCACGGCCAAAGACAATTCAATTACTCATAAGAAAAACTTAATTGTTTTAATACCAAGCAAACATCATCATTTATACTAAATCAAATAGATCATGTTCAGTTAATTAGAAATTTTCCAGATGTCACCTGCAAGATGCCTATAAATAACAGAAAAACACAGCACAGGTTTACAACAATTTATAAAATAACAATGCAGAATAAATTTTCACTAAAAATTTTCAAGTTCTAATTTTAATCATATATCTTTTTCCCTCCCAAACAAGAATACACCAAAAATACATTATTTAATTCAAAGAAGTAGTGTGTCTATGTGTTTACAAAACACCTTATGCTCAATGCCTGGTTTTGGCTGTTCATTCACTTGCAAGCATAATTCTGATAAACAGGAAGGCAGTTAGATATGTGTAATTCAGATGAGTCCAAATAGTAAACTTTTTCCTCAAAGTTAAATTAGGGGGGAATGAGCCAATGGAATGGCTTCTATAACATCCTTTTGGATACTGTAGCGTTTTCCTTTTAAAAATGTTGAGTCAGGTTCTCTTCAAAAAAAAAAAAGAAAAAAGAAAAAGAAAAAGCAAAGAAAAGCAAGCAGCTATAGCATTTCCAAATGACACTTCACAATGTATTTAATTCCAGTGTCTCCAGGTGCCAAAAAGGTAGTCGAGAGTGAAAGACAACCAGACACTCAAGAATTGTATCCTGAAGATGTAGGACATCACATATCGCTGAGGGGAAGATCAGTAACAATTAAGCTTAAGAAGCCAATTTCTAAAGGTCTGGCTTCGCTGCTGATGAAGTTGCCGTCGTCTGTCATCTCTCTCTACCTCCATGGCACCTGTTCTAAGATGCACATACTGTAAAAAGGAATCTGTGCTTTTCACATGAAAAAAAGCCTCCCGGCACTTAAAACACATGCCCACACACAGTCAACAAACATTCGTTGCAACCCTTTCATTAGCATCGCAGGAGACTTCAGTAAAAGGAGTGTCTGTGCTCCATTTTCAGGATGGCCCTGGTCACGCTTCTGAGAAGCTTCCTGTGGTTTTTTTCTGTGTTTTTCTTAAGAGACCTTCCCCAAAAGTAAGAGAGTGAATCAAATGTAAACGGCTCAACAATAGGCGCGTGAAAGTCCAAGGGAAAGAGAAATCAGAGCGAGCGCTGGGAGGCTGGCCAGTGCTGATGCATTGCCCTTGCACCGACTCCGCCGACATAATTGGGCACCTACTGGGAGCATGAACCTGCAGCCAGTCGTCGCCATGCATATACCTCAGCCCAACTCGACAGGTCCCCAACTTGGGACGAGGTGCGCGAAGGCAGGGCAGCAACGCACCATGACCACCCCCTTCCTCCCCACCCCACCCCCGTTCTTTGTCAGCCTCCTGAGAACAAAGGCTGCGTGCCCAGGGGTCCCCGAGGGACTCACGGCGCGCAGATCTGTCCCAGATCCTCCCAGAGGACGCGGGGTGGGGACTGCAGCGGAGCCAGGCCCGCCGGGGGAGGCACCCCCGCAGCGGCTCTTGGTCCCCGGGCTCCGCGGGACCCCACCCCTGCCGCAGGGGCGCAGCCCTGCCCTGCCACCAACTCTCTTTCAAAGAAAGTGGAAATAAACGACTCCTGGGGAAAGCCACGCTGCTCGCCATGAAGCCCGGCTCCTTTTGCAGCCATGAACCCAGCACTTGCGACATTTTTAAACTTTTTGCGTGTATGTTGAGGGGCAGGGGAGAGCGCACAGCACAACCCAGCTTCCCACGCCTCCTCCCGGCCCCCAACCCCGCACAGCTCTCCACCCCCCTGGAGACCGTCCACCCTGGGACGGGCAGGCTGCCCCGCACCACCCTCTCCTGCGAGCCCCCGGGTCCCACATCCCTGTTGGTCCGGTGGCCCCAGACTCACCGCTGACCACCCGGCGACAGAAGGCTCCGTGGCCGCAGAGCAGAGCGGCGCCCAGCAGCAGCGAGACCACGCGGCTCATCGCGGCCCGGCGGCGGCGGCAGCAGGTGTTGCACTGAGCGAAGGGGGCCTCAGCCCCGTCTCTAACCCCTGAGCCTCCCGACCTCCCCCCGCGGGCGCTACTCCCTCTGTCCGAGCCCAGCCGCCCGGTCCCCTGCACGCATCGCCGTGGGGCGGACCTGGCGCCGGGCGCGCGGGTATCGCGCGCGTGTGCTGGGCTGGAGCGCACGACTCCGGGGGTGCGCCTTGAAGGAGAGGGGCCAGAAGTTGGGGGGTTGGGTGTCGGTCCCAGGGTACGCGGCAGGAGCCCGGGTGAGAGCCCACCGGCCCGCTGCGATGGGCTCCCAGGCCTCGGGGCGAGTGAAGGGCTGCGTCCGTGCGCCCAGGTCGCGGGTCTCAGGGCAGCAGCCGCGCTGCGCTGGAGGCGCTTCTTATATACCCACACCCTGAGCTTCAGGCTCGTCGCTAGTAACGGTTTTTAACTACTTCGTCTCTCCCACGGTGCGGTGCGGAGCCTCCCGGCCCCTCCCCTGAAAACCGGAGCCACTTTGAAAACAGTCCACTCAGCAGCCACACCTCCTCCACCCCGCTCTCCCCTGTCTCTTCTTGCCATTCGCTAACGGACTCCAGAGTCATTTGTGTAAAATGTGACAGCTTCGCTATTACACTCTGGCAAAAAAAGTTGGACCCATTTGGTGTTCTCAAAGATTAATGTCCACGGGGATGCCAAGTTGTGGGGCCTTTCCTCTTTTTGTGCTAAATTGCTTGATCATATGTATTGCTGGATGCAGGGCACGAGCCACTATTTAAGATGGATTGGCGGAGACGGAGCCAAAACCTGCTTAGGGAATTATATAATGTGGCAGGTTTCCCCCCAACCTAGGTTCTGCAGCTAGATGACTTCCAAGCAGGCTGGTTGACTAAATTGCCACAGGAGTTAAGTTGAAAAAAACATTGGAAGCACAGTTTTCCCAATCGGTTTCCATCGCAGTCTTTGCAGCTACAGAGAAAACATCAAGGCAAAATAAATATTCTGAATACTTGGGAATTTCGTGGATATACATGTCTGTATTTGTTTGCAGTCATCTCTCAGTGAGCCTATGGTTTGCATTAGAAGCAAGACTCCTTCTAAAACCTGCAGGGGCTTTTTCCTATAACCTTAAGGAGTCTTTATTAAAACAGTCCATCCAAGGATGGTAGGGTTTCCTGGAGCATTGGAAAGCACGCTCATGAGTTTCCCCTATGGTCTGTGGGAAGAACCTTGAGGATGCTCTCATAAAGAGCTCCAGCAGCCTTGGTATGTTGCCATTATGTTGCTTTAAGCGCCCCAACGTTTATTAAAGTCCTTTTTAAAGGGTTTCTAAAGGGTTTTTTAAAGGGTTGTAAACTTTCCTGTAACACCTCCCTGTCTTTATTGTTTCATAAGCCACAAGCCCACTGTCAACATCTGTTGGGCTGTTTTCTTGAAAAAGGTTGGTCCTGCTACAGCAAGGACAAGTCTTATAGAATAAGAAAGTATAGTTAACAGTGGTTCTCAACCTTCCGAATGCCGCGACCCTTTAATACAGTTTCTCATGTTGTGGTGACCCCCAATTTCATATTTACAAATTGAACATGATTAAAGCATAGTGATTAATCACAAAAACAATATGTAATTATATATGTGTTTTCCGATGGTCTTCGGCGACCCCTGTGAAAGGGTCGTTTGACCCCCAAAGGGGTCGCGACCCACAGGTTGAGAACCGCTGGTTTAGTACTTGGAAAGGACTTAAATATTATTAAACACACCCTGCTCAAGAGAGTAGAATTCCAAAATAATTATAATGGTGTCTACCACTTAAATTTTTCCTTGCATAACCATAAAAATACAAATTTAATATCAGGTTGAGGGCAATCGATAAATCTTGTAGAGGGGATGGATTTTTGAATTTCACCGCTAGCTAGATGTCCAAAAGAAAGAAGCACTGCTGGGATTTTTGAATGGAAAATGGGTAACTGATAAATGCTCGAGGCAATGGAGGATTGTTCAGCCCTGTGAACCCTTTCCAAGAGTGTCACTGGTGTGGAGGTCCGAGAGCCACTCCAGGGGCTCGCAGTCCAATGTGGAGAAAGACACATAATAATGACTGTGTATATGAATGCTACAGCAAAAGGGTGAACGGAGTGTCATGGTTAGGACAGAGGAATGAGGAAATTTTGCAGGAATTTTCTAACAGCATCTAGGTTCTAGGATGACGATCCTCATTGGTTGATGGCCTGAGTTACTTCTCCAAATGCTTGCACAACTAGGATTCTGAATGGGAGCTTCATTCTCCTTTCATGACATACTACGCCTGGATATTGGGGGAGCCCAGAGCTATCATGGGAAGGAATATCAGTGGATTACAACATAAGCACCAGGTACAATTCCCTACATATCAACAGACCCCTGAAGGTTTCTGACATCTGAAAAGCCAACAAGTCCTTGAAGCCATTATTGACCATGGGGAGCAACATGGTTTTTGTCTTCCAGAAAATCCAAATGATAACAACTGTATATTCAATAGGGTTGTACACATGTTCTAAAATATAGTTTCTTTAGGTTAGGATTTTATCAATTCAGAAAGGTCGTACTGGTCTACCAGGGCTGCTCAGCAGTTATTCAGACAGCTGTTGGACTTACCAGGAAGACAAATTATTAAAGGCCCTTTTAGCTGATAAGACTCACTCTTTTGCTTTGTTTCTGCATCACTAGAAAACACCTGGATGGATCATCACTGAATTCAGAGAGCACATGTTGGGTAGTCTTAAATAAAGAATAAGAGTGGTATTAGATATTCCTTTTGGAGAGCATGCTGGGGGTATCTCTCAAAAAATTCTTTCATATAGTGTAGTAGGAGATATACAACAACATTTTCAACAAATTATATTTAAAATATAAAGTAATTGGGCATTGGGGGTAAAACAACCAACGTTCATTAATTTTTTTAACAAACGACTTTTATTTCTTCCCCTATGGATAATGTATAAGGTGACACCAGAGACAAATGACTTTCTCATAGCAAACATATTTCAGTTCCACAATTAATGGAATAAAATGAGAAGTTTAAGAACTTTTTCAGATCAGTCAGGAGATAAGGATCCCCCCAAGGGCAACCTTAGGGTTTGGTGAGGAAAGTTTGCCCATGCAAAGGGCTGGGTATTCAGAGGCTTTGAAACCAAGGGTGACCAGGCCACGTGACTGCTGACTGGCATTCAGGAGAGAGGTCCATCACAAGAGTCTGTGCCCAGCTAAAAAAATTCAAATCAGGACTTCACACTGATTCGGATAAGGAACTCCACATTGATTCAACAACTTAAAAACATCTCCTCAAGCCCCCGAATAGGAAGGTGGTCTCGATAAGAGTGACCCCAAGTCCTGGGTGGCGACAGTCAGTGGTTGAGTGTCAGCCTATGAATCAGGAGGTCATGGTTTGATTCCCAGTCAGGGCACAGGCCCAGGTTGTGGGCTCAATCTCTTGTGTGGGGTGTGCAGGAGGCAGTTGATCAATGATTCTCATCATTGATGTTTTTGTCTCTCTTTCCCTCTCCCTTCCTCTCTGAAGTCAATTTTAAAAAGTTTTGTTTTGTTTTTTAGGAAAGAGCGGTCCCAAGAAAATCTCTGGCCTGAATCAAGTGCTGAGTCTCCAGAGGGTCTGAATCATCAATTAAGCATATTTGGAATCCAAAGTTTGGAAAAGTGACATCAGGGACCTTAATAGTATACTATGGAATCTGCATTCCCCAAATATACAAATTACTCCTTCAGTCTCCCCATTCCCTTTCAAATACTTGCAATTCCCAGTGAGTATCTGTTTCATGTGTCCACTAATAAGTCTCAAGGACAGACAGTCTAAATTCCAGGAATTGATTTGCAATCAGTGGCTTCTCACTTGGACAACTCCGGACAGAACCTGGCTGGAGAACCTGGAGAACCTAGCAAGAGAACATGGACACAGAACCTGTCTGGAGATCCTAAGCAGAACCTCTCTGGAGATCCAGACCAGAACTTGGCTGGAAATCCTGGCTGGAGATCCTAGTTAGGCTGCTGATCAACTGAACACTGTCTCCGTGTCCTTCCTTCTTCGCCGACTCCGTCTACGCCTTTGGGAACCCCTGGACCCGCTGGGGTTGAACCCTGGCAGTGAGTCTGGACTGTTATGACAAAGTACGATAAACTGGGTGCCTTAGTAACAACAGAAATTTATTTCTCACAGTTGTGGAAGCTGGAAATCTGAGATCAGCTCAGTTCTGATGAAGGCACTCTTCTGGGCTGCAGATTTCTGACTTCTGGTTATATTCTCACATAATGGAAAGAGGGCAAGTGAGCCCTCTGGGATCCCTTTCATGAGGGCAAAAGTCCCACTCATGGGGGCTCTAATCCCATGACCTAATTACCTCTCCAAGGCCCCACCTCCTAATACCATCACATTCGGGATAGGATTTCAACATATGAATTTGAGAGGATACAAACATGAAGTCCACGGCAATGGCCTAAAAGAGATTTGTTACGATGTTTGAAATTATTACATTAATTATTATATTAATACTAGAGGCCTGGTGCATGAATTCATGCGCCAGTGGGGTCCTTTGGCCTGGCCTGTGGGATCAGGCTGAAACTGGCTCTCGGACATCCCCCGAGAGATCCTGGATTGCAAGAGGGTGCAGGCCAGGCTGAGGGACCCCACCGGTGCATGATTGGGGTCAGGAAGAGACGCGAGAGGTTGGCCAGCCCGGGAGGGACCATGGGAGAGCTCCAGGGCATGTCCAGCCCATCCTGTCCAGTCCTGGCCAGACCCCAGCAGCAAGCTAACCTACCAGTTAGAGCGTCTGCCCCCTGGTGGTTAGGGCATTTCATAGTGACTGGTCAACTGGTCGACTGTCTGACCCCTGGTGGTTAGTGCACATCATAGTGAGCAGTTGAGTGGCCTTAGCATATCATTAACATATTATGCTTTGATTGGTTGAATGGTTGATTGGACACTTAGCATTAGACTTTTATTATATAGGATATTTGAAATGTTAATAGAATCCAATATTAACTAATTTATTCATTCTATTACACTTTATTTAATGATGGTTAATTATTCTTCTAAGCACTATCAACAATATTACAGGTAATAATACAATAATTTGACAGTGAAAAAATAAAACCATTACTATATAATCACTTTGGCAGTAAGCAAAAACTGTTGTTTTGTTTTTGTTTTCTGAATAATGGTTAGTTCTGAATAATTCCAGAAAGATAGCATAGAATCCAAGAATTTTCCGCCAAATTCTTCCTAAATGACACCTTGGCATCTGAGGGCATGTGCCTGGCTCAAATGGAAGCATGAGCAGTTGACCAAATGCCCTGAGGTTTACTTATTCTTATGAAAACATGTCTGAGCTATAAAACACATAACATACCTCATTCAAAAGCCAGTCCGCTCTTCCTC